GAACGCGTAAAGTTGCACAAGTACATCAGCGTGCGTCTACGTCGATAAAACTCACTAATGCTAGAATCAATTTACGAAAAATAAAGAAAAAAATGGTTGAAGAGTGCGTTGGTGGTTAACTCGATTAGGTTCGTTCAGAGTTTCGTCAAGGAAGAAGAATATATTTACCCGAAGATCACGCGACCGACGGTTGTTCTCGTTTTTAACGTCTTCCCCCGGAGATTACGCTAGAGTTAATTAATCGCGAGGGTTTGAAATTGCGGAACGGGGATGCTACGAGACCTGGTTGTACGTATAATCAACGGGACATCGCTGAAGATTCTAAAAATCGTTGGTCGTTCATTGTCGAAGACCGCATCTCGTTTCGTTTGAATTTGGCGCCCTTTTCTCGATCGTATGGACTTCATATTTACGATTTTTGTAACTGTTTCATTTACAAAAAATTGACTAAGCTTTCAATTTAGTTAAACAGGGATGAGTGTGATTTAAGTTGTGAGATAAAATAATGTCTAACTTTGTAGATATACGTTTAATGGTAAACGTGATTAAATTAATACAAAAATTCTACTATGCGAATTTTATACTATAACGTAACTCAGTTCTGAGCTGCAATAAAATACAGTAAAATATTGCCCTTTCTGAATTCGTCTTTGCACTGTGAATTTAAAAATTTTTTTAAATTTCAATTTAAATATATCTATATAGATCATCACATCCAGTTCGCTATAATTCACGCAAATCTTCAACAAAAACCCACTTAGTTCAGATGTAAAAAAAAGAAGATAACTGATACTTAAGAGAAAAAATGATTCGACACGTGAGAAATGATAATGAAAGCAGAAGGCATTCTAAAAAAACAACAACAAGTCACACAGAATTAAGCTTAGCGGACAACAAAAGGGACGAAACAAGTAGCAAGAACTCGAGGAACTCTGCTAATCTAAAAAGAAAGAAAAAAGAGAAAAACGAAAGAAGAAGATTCTCAAGGAATCCCATTTAAGTTATCAGCAAGATGAACGTCGGCTCTTAACTCGGCTGAAACGTGCTCCGTCCGGGAGCAACGATCTCGCGGCCCCAGGCTAACAAATCTCTCGTCTACGGAGTGCACGCGTAAAGTTTCGAGGCGCGCATGTGTTTTTTTCTTCTTTTTTGCGCACGCCCGCGCGACGGATTTGTAAAATTGATTTCGCCATTGAGCCCGTGTTTTACGACATCGACGGGAACGGGCCAGAAGAAAGGCGATTTATTTTACGCCAACTTTTTTCCCACAGCCGAGACACAGTACCGCCACGAGCATTAGACACCCTGCTACGCACGATTCCGCCGTTCTACATGACCATAGGGACACACGCCTCGTCGAGACGATTTCTTCCAGCCGCTTATCGAGCTGCCCCACCTCGTTCCACCCCGTTTCCATCCAAGTACAATCCCTTAGACACCGACCCATCCCACTCTTCTTCTTCGTTGTTTCTCGCACTCCTACGACTTCGCGCCGCTGTCTTGCCAAGATTTTAACGTCAACGCTTATGTCGCCGCGATTCTGCATTTGCACCCTTGTTCAACGAGCCCAGACAAATCCGTTCTGACTCCTTCTTCGATGTTCTGGGCATCGTAGACTATGACGGGGATGGGCCGATATGCAGGAGTGCTTAGAAAATCAGCACCGTTCTTTTTTTTCTTTTGTTTTCACTAGACGATTCTAGGTGGATCGTCACGCCTGGCTGGAGCTTTTTGCTCGTCTCTTAAGCTGAGATTCGTGTTGGAGATGTTTTTACACAGATGCGTAGTCCACCGTTCAGCGGTACGTGATTGGAGAAGAATGTGAAGGACTTTGGGGTGCAATTTTTTGGAGGGAAATTGGAAAATCGAGGGATTATAAATCTATAGATCAGTGTAAATATTAAATTTTAACTAATTAACTGTAAAGGTAAATCTACTTGGAATCACACTCTAAGCCAGCCTTGGACAAGACCTCGTGATTCAAGGCAAACATGCAGAGCTTTAGAACTGCAATTTTTTCACGTCACGGTACTTCCTAAGGCTTCTAAAAATAGGTAAGTTTGCTAAAAGAGAAATTTCAAATTTTTCACAGGATACAAATGTAACTTTCAGCGCTCTTCTCCAATTTTGAACGAGTCAAAATGTTACAAAATGGAGGAGAAGCGTCTATGAAAACGATTCCTAAATTGCACCTTATTTTTACACACCTCGGCAATTTTTTGGAGGGAGATTGGAAAATCGAAGGAATGGGATATATTTTCTGATTGTTCGAACAGTTAAACATTAAATCTCCACAGATTATCTCTAAATGCAAATCAGTTCTAATCTCTAGAACTTATCTCATCGCTCGACCGAACAATCTTCCAAGATTGTTTCCGAATCCAGCAAATTGCAACAATCGTCGCATTCATCGGCCACGTCGTTTCCACTCGCGTCGGTGCTGATTACGGCAAACTTACCGTCTGCAAAGATGGACACAATTTGTTGCAAGTGCTGGCTGGAATTTCGCGGAAAAGCAGCGCTAGCCGGGCCCGGGTTTCGAAAGTTTACGAGAGAATCGGCCTGCAAGTTGCGGAGTTATTGAACTGCAAAGATTAAGTTCCCCGGGCAAGGCAGTTATGCCAATATGAAAGCCTTCCGGAATACACGGACGAAGTCAGTTTTGTTTATAGCGTGCCTTAACTTCGGCTTCCGATAGCGTGGATAACTTGCTCCTGGCCGAGCATTTTATTTCGCCGGAGCGCAGAAGACACCGGATGCAGGAAGACGAAACGAGAACTCCATGTTATCTTTATCGCTCCCCTCCTAATGTTTTGTGGAAAAGGTTCCGGGAGCGGGAACGAATCAGCGAGAAAACCCGGCTATCTCGCTCGCGGTACGAATTAAGCGCTCCCTTCGAGACGAATACTTAAGGGGATGCTAAGTACCTCGCCTCAGATGAGCTTTTGAAAAGGGAAGTTGCCCGCTCCAGCGGCTTATGGACAGGTGATCGACTTATGTGTGCGAGAAATTTCGGTTGAAAGTCGGGGAAATTTGCTCGGTACGAAAGGAAAATCCAAGTTTGAACTTTAGGGAAACTTAACACGTTCGCTATCACGATTCTGTCGAAGCGTAGTCCTCTATTCTTCCAATTATTTTTATTTGCGTTCTTAATAGCGGTTTCACGTAATACGATGGTTACCTGCACTTATGCACGCTTAATATTTACTAAATAGCGGAATATCTGGGTGAAGAAGGGAAGAGAGAAAAATTTGAAAAATTGGAACAGGTATTGGGAAGACGAAGAGGGACGACGCATATGATTTATACGGAGGTGAATTTGGACATTTAGAAGGTTTAACGAGGGAATGTAGGGAAGTAGAAAGTTATGGCAATGTAGGAGACGTGGTAAGCGGAAAAAGGGATAGGAAGACTGTAGATTGGTTAGAAAGGTTACAATAGGAAAGAAGACTAAGACTTAGATAAGACTACAGTAGCCTAGTCAGATATAGAGTCAGATAGAAATTATTAGGTGTAGAAATGAATTCTTTCCGACTAGATTCACATAATTGATTCTCTCACGATGACATTCGCAGGCTGTCGGAAAGATGGCAAAAGGTCATCGACAATAATGGAAGATCTGTTTTCGATCTTCTTAAATAAAAGAGTTCATTTCTGCACTTAATAGCTATAAAGAGGAGAGCTGGAAATTGTAAACCAAGTCCAATTCTTGGCTGCGAAGCTGAATAAACATTATTATAATTATTACTATTAAATACTCAAACTGCACTTTGTATGAGTTAAACGTAGAAACTATTGGATTATGGGAGTTATGGATTGTTAAATAATTAATAATCCTTATTTTAAACTATAAACTTTTATTCGACACAAGGAAGGTTCGCTTTTCTACTTGATGGCAAGAGCACTGTATACAGACTGAGAATGCTCCTACGCAACGCCCTAATACTGCCTACGACCCCGCTTGAGACCGAAGGGCCTTTTGTCACGTATCATAAACATTTAGATCTTTACTAAACAGAGGTGGTAAAACTAAACGGATTTCTCCGAACGTAAACAAAAGAAATATAAATATACTTCCTGGTGTCGTCGGTTCGCTTTAGACGGTGGATTTTAGAAATTATCTTTATTTGTAATTAAGTTTTTTCTTTTATTTTACACTGTTGGTTTTACGGATATAAACTGCAAGGTCTAAACTTCCTTGTTATGCAAGATAATGATCAGGACTCGTTAGGATTGAGGGTTCGATGGTACGGGAGAAGAATTGCAGGGACAATGGTTCGGTAATGAACTTAAGGAGTCGGTACAAAAGAAATGGGTAGAGTGCATCAGTTTGAGAATCTGCCGGAGATAGGACAGGAATTCGGTGGGAAAGTGGAAAACGCGCAGGTAGTTGTCGAAACTGTACCTGGGAAAAGGATCGGTATGTATGGGAGTCGAGGGACAAAGGGATGAGGATTCGAGACTGGTAAGGCTTTAGATTAATTTTTGTTATATCTAACTGACTGATAAATCTAACAGAAACACCGTTCTATCGTGGAAATTAGTATGTGACGATTGATAGCGAACGTGTTAAGCACAATTATTCAATTTTCACGACTCACGCTTATTCAGACAATGCTAACAATTACCAACAGATTATAAAGAACTGTTTCATTTCCCTAACCGTCCAGATTTCCCGTATCAACGACTAATCTTTCAACAGAGAAACAAGAATTATCCATCAATAGTACAGCGCGTGGAACTTTCCGTGGGAAAGTTTCACGGGCAATAAACGGGAATGACGATCTGCGAATCAGAGGGAGAGGGAGAGAGAAAGAGAGTTAAAAATTCAACGTCGAGCCGATGGTAATCCGTGATTAGCTGGTAAAGCCGAGCAAGAGTTCGATTGGGGGAAAATCGACGGTAGCTCGTCGAATCGATGGGATTTCGTTTGAAAATGAAAAGCAGCACAAGCCTGACGACTTATGCGGCCGCGGTTGAATTATTCAGAATGCACTCACCGACCACGTTGAGGCTGTAGTTCAACGACATCTTCGGCTCGGTGCTGACCTGGCACTCGTAAACCCCGAAGTCCCGATCTTGGGGCGACTTGATCTGCAGTGTCCAGTTCTCGGACTTGTCCGGATGGATCACTTGGAACCTTAGATCCGAGGTGTACATCAGGATGCCGGCGCTCAGGATATGCATGTCCCTCTTACGCATCCAGGACACCTGAGAGGTAAACAAAAGAGGTATGCTTTAAACCGGTGGTTCCTTTAAATACGTCTTGAGTTGCAGGTGAAGGCTAATGGTGGTGTTTGGACTTGGACACTTTCACTGTGATTCGTTTAATTGTCATAGGTGGAATTGCACAAGGTTCGTGCATTGGCAAAAGTGATTAAATCGCAAAAATTTATTTTCTTGTTAAACTTTATTCAATTTTACTTTGTGGTGAAGAAGGATATAAAGAAGTCTTTAAATCACAAAATTTACTTTTTTGTTGAATTTTATTAAATTTTGCTTTGTGGCGAAGAAGGATACAGAAAAGTCCTCGAATCACAGAAAAATTTACTTCCTTTTTTAAATTTCACTTTGTGGTGAAGAATGATATGGAAGAGTCGTTAAATCACCAAAAAATTTACTTTTTCATTAAATTTTGCTTTGTGGTGAAGGATATAAAACGTCCTTAAATCGCAGAAAAATTTACTTTCTATTTTAAATTTCACTTTGTGGTGAAGAATGATATGGAAGAGTCGTTAAATCACCAAAAAATTTACTTTTTCATTAAATTCTACTTTGTGCTGAAGAAGGATATAATACGTCCTTAAATCGCAGAAAAATCGCCTTTTTACTAAATTTTACTTTGTGGGGTAGAAGGATGTAAAAATTAACGCTTCACAGATTGCTAATACAGACAAAATCATAGCACGAGAAATAAAGGATTTTTGCACTAAATTAAGTCATTTACTTAAAAAAACTTCGAATAAAATTTCAGAGAAACTGTGCAAATTGACGTTTACTATCAAAGATAAGTCGAGAAATGATTATGGACCTTGTTTCACAGCTTGTAGGAACGTTGGTGACACGAATTGGATCTTCAGACACTAATTTATAGCAGTAATTAAATTTATAGACGACAGACACTTCGCAACGTGTGCTCAATGGAAGAACACAGGCGACTGACTGCTTCGAGGACACCGCGACTCGAGCTGCGTGCCGGAAACCGAAAGTTTTTCTGTCTCCCCGAACGAAGGTTTGCAATGTCGAAAAAAATTGTTCACGTTCACGCGATACGACGCGGAATGTAAACACGAAGCGGCTCTGGCAACTTTCGCGAGCTCGTCGAAATCCACAACAGAGCCTCTTGTCGAGTCTTGAATTGTTTGGAACGATACTGACAGAATAGTAACACAGAATTTTATAAACAATTGAAGTATTTTTCTTTTCCTGGAAGGATCAAATAGAGACATTTATAATTTCTCGTTATTTATTGATTATTTATGTATTTGTTAATTTTCCGACACACTTTTCGACGCTTTATTGTCAATTTTATTGTCGTATAATTTTAAATATCTTCTACTGTCATATAATTTCAAATATGTTTTATTGTCAACTTTTTAGAAATATAGCATTTTAGAAAAACAGCATTATTTATGGGACTTTGAAGTGCTGAGAAGAAACTTCTTGCAAAGTGATTTGAAAAATTTTGAAAGAAATCAAATTTATTAACGAAAAGTGAATTGTGTTTCTTCCAATAACTTGAAACAGTAAATTAATAATAATAGTTACTGATTACATTAGAATTTTTCTTGTTAATCGAGGAGGCTAATCTTTTCTTCAGTCCCTTCTTTGCTTCTTTGAAGCTCATTGTAGAAACACCACTCTAGCTTTCGATTCGACTCTACTATTTCGGCGAATTAAAAGGGGAGCTGGAATACTTATCAGCAGATTTTTCCAGCAAAGGGGAGACGTCCCGGAATGATGGAAATAATACCTCAGAGGGAAGAATGTAAATTGAATTTTCGACACGACGTAAGTTTGCATACACCCTACTTCAATTATTCACATCACGATGCATTACTTACAGCACACTCGTTGAAACAACTCGTTTCAATGGGTTGCTATTCTGTCAGCAGACAGATCCGGTTATATTTGCGTTTCATATCCGACGCTCGACCTTTTTTCACACCCGTTTCTTAATTAAGCAGACGAGATTTAGAAATGTAAAGAACATTCTTCTTCGCGAGAAGAAATTTAGAATCGAGTAGAATTTTGTCAAATTTCTCCCTTCGGCCACGATACACAGAAAACAGTTACAGTTTCATTCAGAATTTAGAGAAAAATATTAATAAAAATAGGTAAATTAATATTTCCAAAGAAATCCGGATTTCTCCGCGCTTTTCATTTTTCACTCCTAGAATTTGCAACGAAAAAATCTGAAAAAATTCACCGACATGTCCCTCAGTTTACACAACGTGCCAGATTTTTTTCAAAATTTTCGCTTACCACTAAGTAGGAAAAATAGGGCAGAAACTGATAATCCGAATTTTCTTTGTGACGAAAAATTTAGCGTCGAATATTTTTTTCTCGTTGATCTATCGAACGGTCCATGGCAATACTAATTTGATTTAAGAGCACTCTTGGCTCCTTCGTCCTTTATTATTCATACCCTTTCCTGCGAAATATATTTCTTCCAGAATTTATTTTCCACTTTGATGAATTCACGCGAGGTAATTAATAAAATAAATCGTTGCACGTGCTGTGCTGTATCTACGTTATAGAATTTTCGTACACAGGAAACTGTGTCCGACCACGAGGCTGGTTAAAGGATCGTTCCATAATTAATTTCGCGACTACACTTTCCCGCTGCACCGTACGTACACCGGCTACAATTAAAAGCGTTTCAAACGTCTTCTAAACAGCAAGTTTTTCCACGGTTATTACATCAGGTGAGTATTAACACGGTCGTGTAAATCTAAAGCGGTTCACTGGCCACCGCTGTTCGTTGTTTCTTGCGTGATTCAGACGGCGGCTTTCCAACGGTCAGATAAATGACAATCCTGACCACAAACTAATGGCCGTGGCCGTCCATAAATTTTCGGGGAAAAAGATCAACGTGAACGTTTCAGTTTGTTGCTTTAGAGACGTTCGTAGTAAAGAAAATGCAAAATTGACTTTAGTTCAAGTGATCGAGCAAGTAAAAATATGAAAATACACAGCTGAGGAAATATGTAGTAAATTATCCAGAAAGAAAACGAAGTATTTCTTCTCCCAGTATAATTGTACAGTCTGAACAATTTCTGTCCACTTCAGTTAAAGAGATCAAACAAGCAAAATGACTCGATTAATTGTGTCGATAATTCGGTAACAATTGAAATATTTCGAACGTTTACAAGAAATGCAAGTGATTAATTGTGTCAATAATTTGGTGAGATAATGATTTTTCAAATATTTTGAATATTCCATATTGCCGCCTTACAAAATATTGATAGAAATAAAATTGACTTCAATTCAAGTAATCAGCAAGTAACATGGGTGGATTAATTGTGTCAATCATTTTTCAAATATTTCCAATGTTTACAGGAAATTCAAGAAACAGTTGAATTTTATCGTAAAACTATGAAAATAGACAGCTGAGAAAATATGTAATAAATTATCTAGATAGAAAAAGAACTATTTCTTTGTCCCAGTATAATTGTACAATGTGAGCAATTTTTCTCCTTTCCGTCCACTTCAATTGAAGAGCTTAATCAAGCAAAATGACTCGATTGATTGTGTCGATAATTCGGCAATGTTGCGTCGTGGGCTTTGATCAAGTCTTATGACCAGGAGTTCTGGCGCAGGTTGATGATAGTTCTCGCTGGTTCGAGGTGTAATGAAACTTGGTTGTCGGGTTAGATGTTTTTCTTTCGGTTCGTTGATGTAGATGTTTGATAGATGTTTAGTTGAAATTCGGTTATTCTTTTTTTTTGACGATGTGTCTCGAGCACTCGTTGTACTGTTAATTCCCTGTTTTCAGGTGTGTAGATGTATATATAGGGATTAGGTTGGTTCTGATTGGTGGTTGTGTTACGAAGGTGGAAAACGTGGTGTGATTGGTCGACGAAAACTGTGACCTTTTGGGAGACCGAATTTGTTGTAAACAAATTCGATCCTCTATTGGTCGACGAAAACTGTGACCTTTTGGGAGACCGAATTTGTTTACAACAAATTCGATCCTCGGTAACGAATGTTTTATGGTCCCGAGTGTTTTTGGGACCTATTGTCCGAGTGTCGCGCTGGTGAGTCCACGGGGGGTATATTGCGGTCTTTCGAACGTCGGCATCTCGGTCTGGCGGCTAAATGTGACTAAGTGGCTTATTACTGTAATCCGCCGAACTGAGACTTCGTTGCGTCCTCGTCAGATCGCAACAGGCAACAATTAAAATAATTCGAACGTTTCCAAGAAACGCAAGAATTCTCTCGATCTCTCATCAGCGCGATTCCATTTTTATCGGGAAAATAGGAAAATAGGAAAATATACCGGCGATCCTCCACAAATACTAATACACGTTTACCCGAAACAGCGTCGTCTAAATGAATCGTTTTATCTGCGTACAGAAATTAAAACACGACCGGCGCATTCACAAACTTTACCCCGTTATTTCTTCCTTATCGCGAACTTTTTTCACCGGAGCATCAACCGCCCCCATCCCACCGGCTCTATGATCGTTCCTTTGCTTCTTACTCGTCGCGCGTTCCCTTCCCTCTTTGCCCGGTGATTTTATACCTGGTGAACTGATAAGTCCGAATTATCGCTAACAATGGTGAATTTCAGCCACGTCGACGCGCGTATCGCCAACGACTTTGTCTCTTTCACGCATCCCCACGCACACAACGATCGTGTGTGTGCGAGAGGGAACGTGTCCGCCCAGTGGCTTAATGCGCCGTGAGAGTTCTAGAGGGTGGAATATGCATAATGCAGCAGGAAGCCGTGTAGCGAACGAAATAATGTTTAATTGAAAGGCGTGAATAACTGCAGGTCTGGCCATAATTATCGCCGAATAGATATCCTGCCGATGCTCCATGGTAATTCGTTATTTCTAATTGAACGTCGTGATACCCGATACAGGTGAATACGTAGTGCGGCTATTTAAGGAGTAAATACTGCGACGGTGGAAAATAATGGATCTACGGTGATACGTTTGGAAAGTAGGTTCATGGTTTTTCGATATTTTTCCAATTAAGTTATT